AAAAAATCCGTGTAAGGTAACGGTAGAACCACCCAGAAAAGCCCACGTAATAGCAAAGAACAAATGAACTGGAAAGATCTGCAGAGAGGCTGAAACCAGAGTCCGCTTTAAACCATAACTCGCTGCAGAGTCTGGCCTGTGTCCTCACATAGATTCCAGGCAGATCAAAAGACTAATGTGACAATCCAGTGAATATCAAACTAGAAGATGGACACAGTGGACAGCAAGACTATTTACAAATCCTGCCTGTTCTGATACCATCAAGACAAATCTGGTGAGGAGAATGCCTACCTGAAAAGAGGAATCCCCACCACAGAGTGAATGTCATTAAGATGTACAAAGATCTAAAAGAGAAAAAAAAAAAAACACCAAAACATTTTAAACTCTCAACCTGACATGACAATAGCTTTAACTCATTTAAACCAGACACAAATGTTTCTACAAACTTCCAATCCTAGTTTTTAAGAACAAAAATGCATACGTTAGGCAATTATGATTAATTGGAAGAAATCCCACTAGATAATCTGAATGCCACTTTAAAGAGGATTTAATGCTTAAGCAAGTTGGAAGGGGATTTTGTCAGCCAGAAATCCATCAACAAGCACTTGAATTTATAATGGAACCCATTTTTTTGTAACACAGTGTGGAAATTTGTAATAATGAATCCATTTATTCTAAGTGGTAGAATATTATTCACTATATACTTAACAATTCACATACCCCCCTCACTTAAATAAAAATATATTAAAAACAAACAAACAAACAAACCCCAACACTCACAGATGAGCCAGTAAGCAACATTACAGACGGAAGGTAAACCTGAGTAATCCTTCCAGAAACACAGACAGCTCAAAGAAATTCTTCTGCTGCCACACAGGGAGCATCCCAAAAGAAGACTGAGCTCCCCAAGCAGGACTTGCATGACTACAATCCCTGCCCCCAGGAAGTCCAGAGGAAAATATGATGCTGTTGAAAAATTCTAGTCCTCAGCACTTGAATGAACAAAATCTGGGCAAGATTCAGAGCAAAATCTGGGCAAGAACAGGAGCCCTATCTAAGCCTCAACAAAGCTGTACATAATGCTCAGTCCAGGAAAACCAGCCCCAGTTTTTACAGGTCTCAAATCTCCCAGCATTAGTGCTGAGAGCGGTTTCCACAGGCCAGACACAAGGATGGAGAAACAGCTTGTCAAGAGCAACGAGCCCTTTCCAAGGTCTTCAGGAGCCTGCACCATCGAGGCTGTACTAAGCAAGCTGCTTGTCAAGGACAGGGCCCAGGGGGAGGTTCTTCCACAAATGGCATTCTCAGGTCCAGCTCCCCAAGAACGTGCCCTTGCTGCTTGCTCTCTTCCCCTACAGAGGCTAAACCAGGTGCCCCACAGCTCAGGTGATCTCCATTTGCAGGGTGTCAGAATCCAGCAGTCTGTAAGAGTGCCAGATCCTGAGACACCGCCTGTACAGATCCTTCCCCTCACGTGCAGGCCCACACAGCCAGGCTGGGTTTATTTTAGTGCTCTGGAAAGCACACACACAGGGGCTATAGACACTCCTTGCTCAGTGCTATTGAGTGATTTCCAGTTAAATTCAGTGGCAGAAAGACGACCAGGAAGAGGCCACAGTCCCCATACAAAGGGAGCAGAGAACAAAACAAAAGATGTCATGGGCAGTTTGGGAAGCACCAACAGGCCATCTGGCAGACAAGCACCACTACCTCAAGGTCAGGGTCCCGCAGACCAGCACGCCACCCACACTGCTTCATGAGTGCTATGCCAATGGCTCTTCCGATCTCCTGCAAGGAGGAAGAACAATCACAGGCAATAAAAATAACAGAATTTCCAACCGTGACTGCACAACTCAGAAATCTCATGGAAAAGAACGAGTCTCTCTTTATCCCTAAGAGAACAATTCACACAAAGACCAGAAGAGGCACAAGAGGGCAGAGCAGGTGAGTGAGGGGCAAAGCAAATATACCACAGGACAAACGACCATTACCCAACTGGAGTGAGGGAGGCTGGAGATCAAGTCCTGCCCAAGTCACAACAAAAGTTGCCACCGTTTCAGAATTCTAAATCGCATACACAAAATATTTCCCAAGGCTCTAAACCAGATTACTCAACAGAAAACCTGTGAATGCACAGCCACAACTCAAGATTTTAATGCTTTTATTACACCTAGAAAGCCCTGACTATCTTCAGAGTATGAGAGTTCAAACACACAAATTTGCTGGGAGGCTCATGTGTCCCACCTCTAGTAGTACTAGGTAGCACTAAAAGTACTAGTTTTAGTAGGAAAAAAAATCTAAACTACTGTTAGCTTCAAGTAAGAAAAAGCTGCAAGTTCTGGCTTTTGCCCCTTCTACACTGCCACAACTGAGAGGAGTCTGGCTCCACAGTTCTTGCAATGGCCCTTTAAGTAGCTGTAAACTTATCCGATCACTCCTCAGCCTCGAGGCCCAGCTACCTGAACCTCGTACCTTTGCTTATTCTCAATAAAAGGTATAGATTTGAAAAACATTCAGGATAGTCGCGTCCAGAAATTAACAACAACAGCCTTTGTATTTCCACTCGTTTAAGGTAAACGCAGGTTAAGGGCTTTTTGAGAAAATACAGAAAAGGCTTACATCAGTTTGTTATTCTAGAACATGACACTGTTCACCTTTGCTAAATTCTTTTAAAACACAGACACTTCAGCATACCTGTGAAGTCAGTATTTTGGCAATTGCTCCACTACAACGACAAGACACTCTGAAACTGAAGCTAAGCTGTTCATTTGCAGTACAATTCTCTCCACTGTCTTTGGAAGGGTCTTCTGAGGAAGCGCTGCTCTCAGTCCGACACTCCTGATCACTGATTCTCTCTGGCACCACACACCTCTCTCCAGCTTCCACCTGACACTCCTCAGACACAACGTCTCTCTCTTGTTCCGTTTTCTGCCTTTTACTTGCAGTATTTGTCTCTTCTTCTGACTTTCTCTTCAGAGCCAATGGGTTTTCTTGAGCGACATCACCTTTTTTCCCCTCATGTCCATGAAGGTTTCTCCAAACAGAGATAATATCCAACCAATATCTCGGTTCCTCAATTACAAGGCTTTTAATCTCATGTAGCATTTTCCCTGGAAGAAAAACGCAGTTTTGTGCTAAGTAGTTCAGTCTCAGCATTTGATTTTTCTACAGACTGTGAACAGCTGTTAACAGAGACTGTGTTCAGACTTCCCTAATGTGTGAATCCAGGAACCAGCAGCAAACCACAGGCACAGTTGAGTTCTCAGCACTCACGTGCCCACCAGCAGACACACAGGCATCCCTCCGATTACAAGCTCTGCACAACCGAGATTAAATCATGCAAGGGATGAATTCTGCACAAAAACTCAACAGCTCTAGAAAAACCACATGACCCCCGAGAGTCATTCCCAGGGACAGAGGACCAGCCTACCACGCCATCCTCCCCAGAGAGCACTTGGTCTAGGATTAAGACATGTATGACACTTTCCAAGATTGAAAGACAGATATAAACATGAATTACTTTGATTCAGCTCAAGCAAGAAGCCACATGTTTATTCTTTCAGAAAGGAGATCCCTCCTCACATTCATCAACCTGCCTTCAATCCTGCAACACACACTTACACTTACATGTGTGGGCAGTCCTCCTGAGCTAGCTACAAGACAGACACAAGCAATACAGAAGCCTAAATACCTAAATACCTCAAACCAGGTCATGAAGAATAAAAAAAAAAGGTCTTCTGAGTTCTCACTCAAAATTTTAGAACCATGGCCAAATTTGATCCTCAAAGCTGAAGGATATCAGTGATCTCCCAAATAAAAACCCACCAGCAGGCAGATATCAATCCATCTAACTTGACATTCTTATTCCAACACTGACAGAAAATACGACCCAAGTAGCTCAGATTTACAAGGAATCTGTGTATTGAACAAGTGATACAGGATATAGGCCTGTATCCACTTTGTCTAACAGAAAATGAGTTACTGTTAAAATGAACACAAGGGATCCAGAACTGGACTTTGGTTTCTGGGTGAGGTGTTTCTCTTGTGGGAGTGGGTGGGGTGGCAGCGGTTCTTACATATACACATTCACTGCCAGTAGAATGTAGGCTGGAAGGTATCTATTGAAAACAATTGAAAAGCCCTTTTCAGGTTAAAAGAAAATATTGAAAACATACCTGAGTGGAAGACACTTCAGAATCAATTATTGTCAATTAGAACTACAGCCATCAGCAAAAAGATATATACCTCCAATATAAGTTTTATTACTAGGACTCGAACTGGGGCTTCCCGTCCCCGCGCAAGCCGCGCCGGGCCGTACCTTTGTTCCCAGACACTGCCAGCGGGCTGTGCTTCTTCAGCAGCAGGAACAGCCGCTCCCCCGACCGCAGCTTCCTCAGCTCGCCCAGTCCCGCGGCCGCGCTGAAAAACACCTTTCCCGAGACGCAGTCCACCTGCGGGGAGAGCACCCCCCGGA